GGCGGGGGGCCCAAGCACTGCCCCGTGCCGTGCCAGCCTCACACCAGCTGCGGGGAGGTGAAGGTGCCTGTTCTGTTTATGTTGCTGTTAAGTGTTTAGAATCGGTCTCCGCGTTGGTGCTGCCCGAGGTGTGCCGCACTCTCCCCTGAGCTGGGCTCCTGCTATGTGTGCCAGGAGGGGGTATGGTGTGTGCCCCAGCAGGGCACAGGCGTGGGCAGGCCGGGGCCAGGGCATGGGTCTGGGGTGTGGCTGACCCTGGCACTATGATGGGTGAGGCCCAGACTGCTTCTGCTCCTAGGTTCAGGGAGGCTGTTGCTGGGTGTGTGCCCACCCATCCCCCCAGAGTGGGAAATGATCCAGCTGGGGAAGCACATGGCCATTCAGTCACCAAGAGTCCTCAGAGCTGTCCCATCCCTTTTGTTTCCAGCAGATGCACCGTCCTGTGCAGCAACCACCAGCCACATGGACAGGGCTGCCTGATCAAACAAAAAACTCTGGGTTAAACTTGATTTCAGATACGTGATGAATCATTTTTTGGTGTAGGTGTGTCTCATGCAAGTGTCTCTCCAGTAGCTCACGGGGTTTATGCTACATGAGCATCTGCTATAGATCTGGAATTGAAACGCAACTGGGCGTCCTGTATTTCATCTGCAATGCCACCCATGTGACTTTTTTTTTTTTTTTGTATTTTTAGTAGAGACGGGGTTTCACCGTGTTAGCCAGGATGGTCTTGATCTCCTGACCTCGTGATCTGCCCACCTCGGCCTCCCAAAGTGCTGGGATTACAGGCGTGAGCCACCGTGCCTGGCCGGATCCATGTGACTATTTAAATTTAAATTATTTAAAATGAGCTGCCCGGGCGCGGTGGCTCAAGCTTGTAATCCCAGCACTTTGGGAGGCCGAGACGGGCGGATCACAAGGTCAGGAGATCGAGACCATCCTGGCTAACACGGTGAAACCCCGTCTCTACTAAAAAAAAAAAATACAAAAGACTAGCCGGGCGAAGTGGCGGGCGCCTGTAGTCCCAGCTACTCGGGAGGCTGAGGCAGGAGAATGGCGTGAACCCGGGAGGCGGAGCTTGCCGTGAGCCGAGATCGCGCCATTGTACTCCAGCCTGGGCGACAGAGCGAGACTCCGTCTCAAAAAAAATAAATAAAATAAAAATGAGCTAACATTTAAAGATTCAGGTTCTTGGTTGTACCAACCACTTTGCAAATGCCCAGGCAGTAGGCGTGTCGGGCAGCCCAGAGCGTCCCCACCACTAAAGCAAGTCCTCTTGGCCAGTGCTATCTGGGGACTCCTAGTGACATCTAGAACTACTTTTCCAAGCACTGGACTCACAGTCTCCGGGTCTCCCGATCAGGGCCGGGGAGAGGGAGTTCTGGCTGGGGCGGCCTTGGAGGCCCTTTCTCAGATTCCAGGGACACGACACCCTTGGGGCTGGTAGACACAGGGATTCAGAGGTGTTTGTATCGGCAGGCCACGATGTTTCTTGTCATCTTGCAGCATTGGGGTGACCATTCTTGGTGTCAAGGGAGCAGGGTGGCCCCCTCCTGGGTACTCCCTACCTGGCTCCCTGGTCAAAGCCCCCAAGATGTCAAAGTAGGCCATGGTGCCCGAGGCCACGGGAGGGAGACACAGCTGGGGGGACTGGCAAGATCCTGGCACCGTCTCCCACCCAGCAGCCACCATCCCAAGCTGTCTGACATCCCTGGCCTTCGGTGTCCTTATTAGCAAATTGGGCTCAGGACTGTGGCCTGGGGTCCCCGAGGGGTTGCCTGTGTAGAGGAGGGGGCTGCCCCTGTCGGGAGGGGCGAGGCTGGGCCTGGAGCCCGGGAGCCTGCAGCGGTGGGCAGGGACTGAGGGCTGGAGCGCGCCTCCTAATTGTCCGTGACTTACAGACTTGGCCAGGCTCCAGACGGCCTTCGTAAATCGCTGCAGCGAGGAGCCTGCCAGTGTGACCCTTCGTGCTTGGCAGGGCCCTCGCCGCCGCCCTGCTCGGAGTGGCCTGCCGCCTCCAACTTTCCATGTGCTGCTGCTGCGGGGCGGGAAGGGGGGGTGCTGGCTGCTAGCTGTGGCGGGGAGGGAGGTGGGGTGGCCACCGTGCAGGTGCCTGCTTCTGCAGGGATGTCCAGGGCTCTCCAGCTGCGGGGCCCCCAGAGCCTGTCCACTACAATACCTGGTGTGAGGCTCATGTGGTCTCCACACGGAGCCAGAGGGGAAGACACCGGCTCAAGGACGCCCTGTCTTTTCTTAGTGTATGCAGCGTGTGTGGGTGTATGGAGTGTGTACATGTGTGCACGTGCATGTGTATGTGTATGGAGTGTGTACGTGTGTGCACGTGCGTGTGTGTATGTGTGGTGTGTGTGGTGTATGGAGTGTGTACATGTGTGCAGATGCGTGTGTGTGTGTGGTGTATGGAGTGTGTACATGTGTGCATGTGTGTGTGTGGTGCATGGAGTGTGTACATGTGTGCATGTGTGTGTGTATGTGTGGTGTATGGAGTGTGTACATGTGTGCATGTGCATGTGTGTATGTGCGTGGTGTATGGAGTGTGTACATGTGTGCACATGTGTGTATGTGTGTGGTGTATGGAGTATGTACGTGTGTGCAGGTGCATGTATGTGTGTGGTGTATGGAGTGTGTACGTGTGTGCATGTGCGTGTGTATATATGTGTGGTGTATGGAGTGTGTACATGTGTGCACGTGTGTGTACGTGTGTGGTGTATGTAGTGTGTACGTGTGTGTAGGTGCTTGTGTGTGTGTGTGGTGTATGGAGTGTGTACATGTGTACACATGTATGTGTGGTGTATACAGTGTGTACATGTGTGCACGTGTGTGTGTATGTGTGGTGTGTGTGGTGTATGGGGTGTGTACATGTGTGCACGTGTGTATGTGTGGTGTGTGTGGTGTATGGAGTGTGTACATGTGTGCATGTGCGTGTATGTGTGGTGTGTGTGGTGTATGGAGTGTGCACATGTGTGCATGTGCGTGTATATGTGGTGTGTGTGGTGTATGGAGTGTGTACATGTGTGCACGTGCATGTGTGTATGTGTGGTTTATGGAGCGTGTACCTGTGTGCATGTGCGTGTATGTGTGGTGTGTATGTGTGGTGTGTGTGGTGTATGGAGTGTGTACATGTGTGCTCGTGTGTGTGTGGTGTGTATGTGTGGTTTATGGAGTGTGTATATGTGTGCATGCGCATGTATGTGTGGTCTGTGGTGTATGGAGTGTGTACATGTGTGCATGTGTGTGTATCTGTGGTGTGTGTGGTGTATGGAGTGTGTACATGTGTGCACATGAGTGTGTGGTGTATGGAGTGTGTACATGTGTGCATGTGTGTGTATGTCTGGTTTATGGAGTGTGTACATGTGTGCACGTGCATATCTGTGGTGTATGGAGTGTGTACATGTGTGCACATGCGTGTGTGTATGTGTGGTGTCCTCAGGCGGACTGGAAGCCCACAGAGGCAGCGCCATGACTGCCCCCCAACCCCAGGTCAGGGCACAGAAGTTGGGTGTCTTTGGCCCTATAATGGGGACACACAGGACATGTCCCTGCCCCCCTGTTGGGTGGATGGGCTTGGAGCCCTGGATGCCGGAGCCTCAGCTTGCTCATACCCTGAGGGCTGGGGAGAGAGCACCAGCCGTGGGCTGCTCTGTATTCAAAGAGTCCAGGGCCAGGAAAGGGCTGAGCTTGGCTGTCCTCTGTGCCTGCCCTTCGAGGCCAGGAGGGACGCCGGGTGAGGAAGGGGCAGGCCAGGGACCCCTGAGACTTGGGGGATGCCAGGCTGTCAGGCAGGGCAGCAGATGGGGTCACCAGGCCAGGGAGTCAGAGCAACCATATGGGGGAGGAGCCTAGAGGGTGGCCCTGTCCCCAGCCCAGGAGTTGAGCCAGCTCTCTCCCAGCCCTGGAGGCGAGCAGGGGGTGACTCTGGGACAAATCACCGCCCTTTTTCCATGGGCAGTGGACCTGGGCAACCACTCCCAAGCCGGTGGCACCGTCTGGAAACACAAACAGGCCCCAGACAGGTGTAGGTAACTTCCTGCCTGACAGATGGGCCTGGAATCGCTGGGTGCCGGGGGACGCAGGTTGTGAGGTGATGTCTGGGACCTGCTGCCACCACCCCCGCAGTCCTTCACAGACAGGACCGCCCACCGCACAGCAGGGAGGCCCAGCCGAGGGAGCCCAGCATTTGGGCCCTGCAGCTTCTGCTCACGGGCACCGCACCCAAACCCATCACCTTTCCACGCTGGGGATGGCATGCAGGGCTAAAAGCCAGCATGTGGGTGCTGAGGACCAGAAGCAGTGCTCACACCTCCCACACCACCCACTCTAGAGAGGCAGCCCCCGTTCCGGGCCCTGAACAAGCTTTTGGTGGGGGTGGGATGACGCTTGGCTGAGTCTTGTTTTAAGGGTTAGGATGTATATAAAGTGTCTGGGACGCAGTGAGGTTGATACATTGAGGCACTTCTTATTGGTTATAATTATGAAAAACGGCTTGATTCAGGGACCCAGCAGAAGGGGTGGGGCCAGACTGGCCTGGGCCAGGGATCCAGCTGGCCCCGCTGGCCCCAGCTTCCTAAATGGGGTTGCTCAGAGCCTGAGGACACAGGACAGAGATGGTGATAGCAGTTCCCAGGAGAAAACTGAAGACATGGGAGCCCCCCCCATCATGGCTGGCACCCAGCTGGGACTCCTGGGCCGCTGGCCAGCAGTGGGGTGGGCAGACGCCAGACCTAGGGCTCCACCAGACACGCCAATGGGTCGTGACAAGGCCTGGGAGGAGAACATTCTTATCTTTCCAGCTTGGTCCTGCTGCTGTGCACCCCGTCACAACGGAATAAGCGGGTTCTTAAGAAGCATTTAGTGCAGTGTAATGGGCCCTTCACAGACCCCCAGGGGCCTCTCAGGGTATGCAAGAGATGTTTCTCCTGGACGCTCTGGGGCAGGGAAGGACAGCAGGAGCTGCAGGAGGAGAAACTGTCTGGGACTCTGGCCAAGCGTGAGCTGGGGAGGGCAGGGGCTCAGAGCCGGGCTGGGCGCAGCATCAGACACAAGCACAGCACAGGGTGGAGCAGTCCAGCTTGGCCGGGGCCCCCGGGGCTCCAGCCTTCTTGTTGACCTTGGGCAGTAGCAGAACAAAGGACATGGCCAGGGCACAGTGGTAGAAGCTGTGGACATAGGTGTAGTCCCAGTCCTGCGGGGGGCAGGCCATCAGTCTGGGGCCTCAGCCCCTCCCCAAGGCTCCTCCCTCTGCAAGACCCAGCCGAGCCCCTCAAGGCCCGCGCCTCTTCCTGGGCACTGGGACACCTGCAGGAATCCTCCCCCACGGTCGCGCTCACGGTGGCCTTTCTCTCCACCTAACCCCGGAGCAGTGAGGGCCTGTGCCATTCTCCAGGCTGTGCTCCTTCCTTCCTCCCCATCCCTTCTCTCTGCTGTCCTTCTCTTCCTCCATCCTTCTCTCCTTCCTACCCTCCCTCCCTTCCTCCATCTGCCCTCTTTTCTCTCCTTATCCCTCTTCCCCTGCTCCTCCCTCCCTTCTCCACTTTCTCCCTCCTTCCTTCCCTGTCTCCTCCCCTCCCTCCCTCCCTCCTCCAGGTGTCGGACACCTGCCCCAGGCATTGGGCACCTGCCCCAGGCCTCTCTCAGGCTGTGCTGCCATCTGAGATGCCAGCTTTCTGTAGGCGGCCAGCTTTGGTCTCTCTGTGGCCTCCAGGTCCACACAGGCCATGGTGCTGGCGGTGCCGGGGACGGCAGTGCCCCCAACATAGCTCTGGGAGGGGTTAGTGAGCAGGGACTAATGCCTGACTTTGGCCTGGGGCTGTCAGAGTCCCCCCAACGTGGGCACAGCCCTGGTTTTCCAGCTGAGCAGAGCCACGCCAAGTGGGCTCTGGGGCACAGGACACCTCCCCGCTGGGCTTGGTACCTCGAAGAAGAAGCGTAGCATCAGGGCCAGCGCCCCAAAGCAGAGGCCGGGGCCTATCTGCTGGGTGTAGACGCTCTTGTCTGGGTACAGGCCCTTCTTCTCCTTCATCTTCTGCAGCTGCGGGGACAGGAGGCCACAGCAAAGCTTTCAGGTCACAGCACTCGGGAACGCCCCTTCCCAAACCAGCCCGAGAGCCGGCCCTGCACAGGCTCACCCCAGCCCTCTCCCGGCAGGAGAGGAGGCTCAGGAGCCTCCTGCCGCACCCAGCCTCAGATGGCTTCTGCTGGACAGGGCCCTTCACGGTGGGACCCACCAGAGACCCCACACTGGATGGCTGGGAAGGGAGCCTCCGGGCCATGTGCCCCGTGAGGACCCCGCTGCCCTCCCGCCTCTTTGGGATGTGACAACGCCACCCTTGCATGTCTCCTCTCTGCCGGAGGGGAGCCCCAGGGGGACTAGACTCCATAATTGCTTACCAAGGAAGGTACTGGACCTGCCAGCCCGGTGTGGCCCATGGGAGTGGCACCTGTGGTGGTCCCTGAGCCACAGACAAGCATCGTTTGCTTTCCTAGTTAAAGGACCTATCTCAGTTCTCATTAGACACACTTGGCCAGCACCGCTTCTCAGGTCCCAGTGCTTAGGAAGGCTCACGTGGCCGTTTCCGCTTAGAGAGGGGTTTGCATTCCGAGGAAGATGCGGGAAGGGTGGGGCCACATCCCTGGGACCCGCCTTGTGTTTTCTAGGCCACTTCACGTGGAGTCTATTTGGGATTTGCAAGGGCAGTTTTTTCCTGGAATGAGGGTGGATTTTTCTCCCTGAGCCTGGTCCCCTCTTGGGAGGGGCTGGGGAACGACAGCCTTGTGGGGGAGGAAGGAGGGAGGGCTGGGTGTTGGGGGCCTCAGAGTGGGGCCAGGCCCATGGGGTACACTCAGGAGGCTTTAGATTTCAGTGGGATAAACTGTCAGACACACAGCGTGTGGCACAAGCGCCTGGGGGTGGGGGCAGCACCCCCTAACTGCACCCATTGCTGAGTGGCCTATGCAAAGAGCACGAAGAGCCTTATGCTGGGTCAGGTCAGGTTTCGCCACCCAGTGAATGATGAATTGATGCCCGGCTTTCCGTTTTCTGGAATTCCATTGCCAACAAGGAATTGGGCACCTGCAGTCGCGCAGTAGCGTGAAGACAGCTGGACCGTGTGACCCTGGCTGCAGTGACCACGGCTGCCAGCCCACCTCGGGCCGGTCCTGCAGTGGTAGCACCAGGGAGAAGGGAGGTGCCTGCCCCAGGTCACGCAGCGGGCCTGGCACTATTGAAAGGGCACCATCACCCAATCCTCCCTCCCTCTTTCTCCAGGACTGTCATTGCTCTACCCCTCCCAAGAGGGGACGAGGCTCAGGGAGAAAAATCCACCCTCATTCCAGGAAACAATTGCCCTTGAAAATCTAAAATAAACTCCACAATAAATGGTCTAGAAAACAACAATTTGAGTCCCAGATGCGGGGAGGTGGGTGGCCCATCTTGGGCTCCTGTGGCCGGATCTGCAGTCTGAGGGCCTTGGCAGTCTCGTGGCTCTTGGTGGGAAACCCACCAGTGAATTCTCTTCTGGCCAATCACAATTCAGCCCAGTTCAGACCTGGCCAAGACCAGCGGGAGGGGCAACCTTCGGGGGCAGAAGGAAGGGAGAGGTGGGTGGCCAGGGCCCAGGGCCCCAGCACGCTCCTTGCCGCCACCCACCTTGGTCCAGGCCACTGATGCCCAGCGCTCCCTCTCTCCCTGCCAGGCAACTCCCAGGGGCCTTCTGGGTCAGCCCAGGGTTAGCTCTGCTTCCTCAAGTTGGAGACAGAAAGCAGATCCTCTGTCTCCTGCTCAAAAAGTCAAGTCCAGCCAGGCACGGTGGCTCACGCCTGTAATTCCAGCACTTTGGGAGGCCAAGGCAGGCAGATCACCTGAGGTCAGGAGTTCAGGACCAGCTGGGCCAACATGGTGAAACCTCATCTCTATTAAAAATATAAAACTTAGCTGGGCATGATGGCGGGCGCCTGTAATCCCAGCTACTCAGGAGGCTGATAATCACTTGAACCTGGGAGGCGGAGTTGGCTCCATTGCACTCCAGCCTGGGTGACAAGACAGAAACTCCGTCTCAAAAAAAAAAAAAAAAAGTCAGGTCCTGGCCCAGCCACTGCCCTACCATAATGTCCTGTTAAGTTGCTGAGGCCTCCATGCCTTAGTTTCTTCATAGGCCAAATGGCAAATCAGTTCCGTGCTCCTTGGCTGTGGGGAGGATTGGGACACGTTTTGCAAGCTGCCTGCCAGAACTCGATTGCTCTCCTCACAGCCGTGGGCCCTCCTGCACTGACAGCTGCCCTCTGGCTTGCTGGGTACCCTGTGGTCCTGACTGGGGCTGGCAGTGTGGCTGGGGTGGACCAGGCCAGGTCCTCTCCTAGCACTTGAAGCTGGGACCCTGAGACTTCAGGTGGCATCCAAAGAGGTGAAATGCAGCAGACGGATGTTCAGGTAGTGCCTCGGCTGCTGCAGGCCTGGAGGGCAGGCTCAGGCTGAAGCCTGCTGGCCCCCCAGGTCTGCGAGACCCCTGCAAAGGTGAGCTCCCTCCTGTTCTGGGGTCCCAGGAGATGCCCTGGGTCTATTCTGCCCTAGGATCCCTCTTTAGCTTGGGCGAGTTTGAGTGGGGTTTGGTCCTGAGCCAGGAGGGCCTTGATAGGACGGAGGGAGCAGGGAGCACTGAGGACTGTGTGAGGGCCTCATGGGTGCCAGAGCCTCGCTGCTCTGCAAGAGGCTGTCTGTGCTAGAAGCTCTGGCCCAGGCTTCCTCACTCTCATACCACACTCTCCCTCCTGGCTAGAGCCAAGTCAAGGCTCACTCCCTCCAGGAAGTCTTCCCAGATTACCCCAGGCCATTTTCCAAGTTAATGTCGCATCTCTAAAGCAGCTGTAGTAAGAGTGATGATGAGAGTGATAATAAATAGCTCCCATGTGTGGAGCACATTGGAAGCCAGGCTGCATGCCAGGACTTCAGGTGCCTGAACCACCCCATGAGACAGGCAGGGGGCTGTAATGACAACACCTGCTTTACAGGTACGGGCATGGAGGTGAGAGGTTGGGTAACTGGGGCTCAGTCTGGAGCTGGTGAGTACAGACAAGAGTCACACACTGCGCAGCCGGAGCACCTGATGGCCTTTTTCTATGTGTTTTCACTGAATTCCTGCATCTACCCATTTGCCTGTGAGGCAGGAGGTAAACGAAGATCCAAGGCAGGAGGAGTCAGACAGGGGAGAGGTGACGGGCCTCCTGGGTCCCCGTTCATCGAGGCTCACACAGTACGCACCCACTTTGCCGCAATGATGAGGATGGCTGTGCCGATGGGGCCTGAGTATACCCCGTAGCCCCAGCGGTCGTGGTAGATCCTCACAGCAATGGTCAGGACGCCGAACATCACAAATGTTGACCTCTTGGGCTCATCGAAGTCGGCCAGTGCTGGAGGGGCCAGGGAGACACTGGGGGAGGTGAGTGGTCCCTCTCGCTCCTCCTGGCTGCCCCCCACCCCGCAGCCCCCAGGAGGCAAACTGTAGGTGCCCTCTCTTGGCATCCCCTCAGCCAGCGAGACCCTGAGGCCCAGCCTGGTCATTGAGGGGGTCTGAATTCCAGCCAATTTGAGAGGACAGGCAGCCTGCTGCTTCCCCCATGGACACAGCAGCTTGGATGGTGCTCCCAGCACCTTGTTTTAATAAATAGACCACAGCTAGTTGTGGTGGTTCAGGTCTACAATCTCAGTAGTGCTTTGGGAGGCTGAGACGGGAGGATCGTCTGAGACCAGGAGTTCGAGACCAGCCTGGGCAACATAGCGGGAACCCCATCTCCACAAAAAATTCGGTGGGTGTCGTGGTGCATGCGTGTCATCCCAACTACTTGTGAGGCTGAGGTGGGAGGATGGCTTGAGGCTGTGAGTTCGAGGCTGCAGGGAGCTGTGTTCATGCCACTGCACTCCGGCCCGAGTGGCAGAGTGAGACTCTGTGACTAAAAATCCATAATCACTATGCAAAGTGAATGGGATCGAATCTATTCCATAGGATCGCAGGACAAAGACACTAAGATTCACGGGAAGAAGCGAAGCCCCTCCCAGGCCTGGTTGGATGGCAGGGAGCCTTCAGGTCATGGGGACCTTGCCACAGACAACAGTAAGTGGAAAAAAACATGGTGGGACAGGGGGCTTATGAACGGCCCTGCCTCCCAGGCTGGATATCACCCGCATGTGCGGATGTCTGTATGAAAGTCTAGGAAGCCAATTCCCTGAGCAGTGAACAGCGGTCCTCCCAGGGAAGGAGCGACAGGAGGGAACACTTCCAGTTTTTCCTTTGTCTGCCTCTGCTGCTGAAATGTGTCACAACAAACTTTTACTAAATGAGTCATTTTAAATGGATATGAAAAATCGGCATCAAGGCATTTAAGAGGTGTATATTCTTTTTCATAATCACAACCCTGAAACCCAGACAAGGCAAGAGGTTTCTGGGGATGGGAGTGAGTGGGGCTGGAGGGCTGGGACGGGGCTGGTTTGAGGGTGGCCGTGTGGACACTGGGGAGCCGGTCCTCGTCCGCAAGGCTTGGCTGCAGGGGGTGGCCACTCACCCATCAGCGAGACCCACATGCTCAGGGCTGTTCCATAGACGCTGAAGTATTCCAGGATGTCGTGTCGCATGAAGCACAGCACAGACAAGCCGGGTCCGTTGCAGGCATGGTGGAGCTGCCGGAAAACCCACAGGCGGTCAGAGCACAAAGAGGCCGGGGCTGGTCCCCGAGCCACGGCCCCCAGAGCGCCAGACCACGTGCTGGCTGCGAGAAGTCACTTCAGGGTGTCACTTAATGACTATGTGCCTCAGTCTCCCCATCTGAAAAATGGGGGTACTGCCGAGCACTCCCACAGAGGGTGCTGTGGGGATTAATTGGCTCATGTCAGTGAGGTGTTCAGGGGCTGGGGTGTGCCAAGGGTTCACTGAATGTCACCTCAGCAGAATTCGCTCATCTGCACTGGCAGGACTGGGTGGAGACTGAGTCATCACTCAGGTGAAGCCTGCTTAGGTGGGGCGGTCTCCGGGGGGACCCTACATGGCTCTCCCTGGACCTTCAGCATCTGCGTTTCCTGGAAGCACAAAGCAGCGCGTTCATTCGCCAATCTTTGGATGTGAGGCCAGAGCCTCTCTGGGGGCTCCTTTGCTCTTCGGGGGCTCCTGGGACCTTTTCTTGCACACATTACCCCTCTGATGACTGGTCTACACTGCAGCAGCGTTCGCAGGCTCGAGTGGGCATCGGAACACCTGAGGCCTGATTTAGACACAGGTTCTGAGCCCTGCCTGAGAGTTGCTGATTCGGGAGGGCTGGGTTGAACAGAAAAACGTGCATTTTGAACAGATTCCCCGTGGTGCTGCTGCGGCTGGCAGGGCCCACATTGAAAGCCAGGCTGCAGCTCCTGGTTTCTGTTGCCTTAATGTGGATGAAGATCTCGGAGACCCCCTCGCAGGAGCGGAACACAGCCCCCTAGGCTCGTCCATCCCTGCCCTACACTCTCGTAGTCGCCTCCCCAACACCCACTTTCATGGCAATTTTTAAAGCAAAACGCTTATAACGGAGTGTTTTCCAAGCAGTCAACTACTTTTCTACGGAAAACAGCTCTCTCTCCTTTTGCATTCGCATTTCATCATTTTAGGTAATATTTAATTACATGACATAATTATTTTGACAGGTTCAACTGGCACAAACAAGCCTGGGAACCAGCACGGGGGACTCTTGGTCAGCCCAGCTCAGCAGGAGGAGCAGGCGTGCTGGAAAGCAGCCCGTGTCTGGAGGCGACAGGGACACCACAGACGGAGCGGGGGCCCTGGGTGATCTGGGGAGCGGGCAAGTCGGGGTCAAAGTGGAGTGCTCCTACCAATGGCAATTGTACATGGCCTAAAGGGAAGGTGCACCTAGGAGGCATTAATAGAGATCCAGCATCTAAAACAAGGGAGGAGGCAGTCCTGCTTCTCTCTGTTCTTGTCAGGTTCATCCAGAAGACTATGCTGAGCTGTGTGTGGCGCACCTTTCTTGAAGTGAGACTGGCAAAGACGCGGCTAGAGGAGGGTGACTAGCGGTGGACTTGACTGTTTACCTTGGGGACAGGGAAGCTTCAGGAGGGGCTTGATCAAGGTGCTTACATTTCTGTGGGAGACAGGAGTGAGGAGGACTCCGGCCCTAGGCTGTTCTCCTCTTCTCCTGGCTCCCTCCCATCCCCGACCCCAGCCCCATCACCTGCTGTCTGTGCACCTCCCTGGAGCACAGATCGTCACGTGTGATTAAGGCATTCACTGTGAGATTCCCTTGCCCTGTCAGGAGCAGGAATGGCTCTGTCTGGTCCCAGCTGCATGGACGGCTCCCAGCATAGAGTGTTTGCTGCGTGCGTTCAGGGATGAGGAGGCCAGGCTCTGAGCAGTCTGAAGGAGAGCTGGCTCACCCTGGGGACCCAGAGCCTCTGCCACTAGGTCCTTGGCTCCTCCCGACGGTGGGAACTTAGCTCTGTTTGACAGGTGGGGAAAGTGAACTTCAGAGCAGCACTGACTTCCCAAAGAGGTGAAACACAGCAGTGCTTGGCACCCTGCCATCCTGCAGTGCAGGGGCAGACCTGGCCCAGCTGGGGCACTGGCGGGATGGGTGTGGCTGGGGGCCCGGTGGGTCGGAGCTCAGTCTGACTTCACAGATGCTCCCAATGGGAGCTCAAGTGAGTAGCTGGCAGGGGGAGCCTCCTCTGTTGTATGGGGATGAGCACACCGTCTCCGTGGGGTTTGCACCCACAGCAAGGCGTCTGGCACAGACATGGAGATTGTCATGGGAGGGGCCTGACTGGAAGGAAAGGGACGCCATGCGGACGGCAGAGCTTTGAGAGGGACTGAGTGTGGCTTTGAGGCCGGAGGACATTTGTCACGAGAGGCAGCTGCCCCTGCCACTCTGGGTGGGGTAGGGTGGGGCCCTTGAGACCAGTGCAGAGGCAGCTGTGGGGCCAGCCGAGGCCCAGGCAGGGAGGGGTGGCCTGGTGGGTGCTTGTGGTTTGCTGGGCTAGGTCTAACAGGAGTCTTGAGAATAAGACCCCAGCTTTTCTCCCTGCGCTAAGGCCCTGGGACCTGCAGAGAAATCCTGGCTCTGCTCTGGGCCTCGGTCTCTCATCTGTCCAAGAGGCTTCCTAGCCCTAGCCCAGGCTGGAGTCCCAGAGGAGTGAATGCAGTGGCATTTGGGTGAGTCAGGAGCTCTGAAGAGTTTGATCTCACAGTGGCACAAGTGACTCTGCCTCTCTGGGATTCGGTTTCTTCATCTGCCAAATGGGAATCAAGATCCTGGGCTTGCGGGGGAGGTGAATCAGATGCTGTGCACAGAGCCCCGCCCAGTCCCCTACCCTGGGTACTGGCTCTCGAGGTGGAGTCAGAAGCTCCAGGGCATCTGGTTCAACAATGGACCCAGCCTGCCCCAGGCCACTGTCACCCTTAGGAGCGGCACACACTGGAGGGGATGCCTTGCTCCCAGCCCATGCACACACACTCAACTTCTGCCATTGCAGGCAAAATTGGACTTGACCAATTCAGGATGCAGACATAACATGTGAATACACACTTGCAAACACATGTGGGAGCTCACGGGCCTCACCCACTCAGGACTGCCTGTGTGCACTCACATGCACTTGGCATTCTTGCCTATAGAGGCCCTGCTGCTGGAGAAGGAGGCTGTCTGGGGAGAGGAGGTGGAGTTTTCACAGGTTGGGCCCAGAACTGCCCCAAGAAGGAGGCTAGTGGGATGCTTGCCTCCCCAGAGCGGGTGTCGTGCTGGGGATTGGGCTGTCATTGAAGGAGGGGTCTGATGGAAGGTGAGCAACGAAGGTTTCGGGAGAGCAAGAGGTGGAGCACCACTTGTAGGAGTCCAGCAGTAGGGCATGTTAGCGGAGTCAGAAAGACACAGAGGCAGGAAGGCAGGGGGTACCGAGACACATAAATGATGGCTGAATGGAGAGATGGTAATAGATGAATAGATCACAGGTAGATGAATGGGTAGATATAGAGATAGATGGAGAGATATACATAGAGAGAAGTTGGAGAGGTGGATAGACACCAGAGAGACACACTGAGAGTCAGGGGACTACAACCAGTGAGGGTGGGATCAAGAGCTTGAGAGAGAGTGAATTCCATGGGAATCGAGTTCCACAAATCAAAAGAGAACCAGACAGACAGAGAAAGGAAAAAAAGAGAAACAGAGAAAACTAGACATAGAAAACCAATACGAGAAACACAGAGTGAAAGAGACCCAGAGAGAGAAGACAGGGGACACAGGGGTCCCAGAAACAGGGACCTCAGAAACACAGACAGATGGGGTTCCAGGTGCTCCACTGAAAGATGGATAAAATCACCCAATGACAGGTACCAGGAAACAGAGAGCAGGAGAGAGCCAGACAGAGAGAGAGAGAGAGAGAGAGAGAGAGAGAGAGAGAGAGACAGCGGAGACAGTCAGCCAGCCAGACATATAAATAGAAAGAGAAAGACAGACCCACAGAGAGAGAAGTAGGCCCCAGAAGAGGGAGAGATCAGCAGGCCCTCCTGAGCCAGGGCAGCTCCAGGATTCTGGAAATCAGACTCACTCACCCCAGCCTTCACACTCCCTAAACCCCACAGACCCTTTCCCAGGCCTGGCTTTCTCCATTCACCTCTGCTCCATCGTGGCCTGTGGGTAGAGCTGGAAGAGAGGTAGGGAGCGGAGGTGGCCCATGGGCAGCCATGGGGGCATTGATTAGCAGCTGAGAAAAGGGGCACCCTGGAAGGGCTTACTCTCAACTCAATGGCCCTGCTCCACCCCGGGCTTGGTCTCACACAGGCAGTGATCCCAGAGCAACTTCCTGGCACAGATGGGAAAACTGAGGTCCAGAGAGGGGAAGGGACTCCCCCAGTCCTCTCTCTTCAGTCTCCAGACCCCACCTGGGCTTGCTCTTTCATTTTCAAATCACTTCTGCCCATCACTCAATACAAGAACGCTGTGGACAGACAGCCTCTCCTCTGTCTCCAAGATGGGGCACGTGCGGGTCTTCCTCCCGGCCCCCAGACTCACCGCCACGAAGAACAGGGTGAAGAGGTAGACCATGGCCTCCATGTGGAACCGCCTCTTGGCCGCGATGCTGACAGTGGGGAGGAAGGCCAGGCTGCTGAGGGTGGGCAGGAGTAGCTTGGCCACCAGCGTCCCCATAGGCCTGGAGGGAAGCACTGGCTGGGGCGGGGTGGGTGCTGGCGCCCTGGGTCCCCAGCACAGGAGCACGAAGGGGGAAGGCCAGCTCCCTTTGGGCAGGGCTCTGATGGCAGCTGCGGGGAGCGCCCACGAGAGGGTTTAAATGCCCTGGACGGAGGCGGGGATGTGCGTGCACATGTCAAGCAACACATGGGGAGGGCCGACAGCTGACGCGCCACGTGACCAGCACTTGTCTCTGATTTTCTCTTTTCTTTTTTTGAGATGGAGTCTCGCCCTGTGGCCCAGGCTGGAGTGCAGTGGTGTGATCTCGGCTCACTGCAACCTCCGCCTCCCTGGTTCATGCCATTCTCCTGCCTCAGCCTCTGGAGTAGCTGGGATGACAAGTGCCCGCCACCACACCCAGCTAATTTTTGTATTTTTAGTAGAGACAGGGTTTCACCGAGTTGGCCAGGCTGGTCTCAAACTCCTGACCTCAGGTGATCCGCCCACCTTGGCCTCTCAAAATATTGGGATTGCAGGTGTGAGCCACTGCATTTGGCCTTCTCTTTCTTTCTCTCTCTCCTTCCTTCCTTCCTTCTTTCGTTCGTTCGTTCATTCTTTCGTTCATTCTTTCTTCCTTCCTTCCTTCCTGAGGCCAGAGGAGTTAATTCAAGGATTCAAGGAGACCACATTTCTTTTATCTGGGGCAACAACCTTGGGGAAAAGTCCCCAATAGGACAATCCCTGCCTTCCAGACATTTTCCATCCTGGTCCTCCCCCCCAGAATGAGAAGCCTGGTGGATGCTGCTGCTTGGGTCACATGTCCATGGGTGGCCTGACGTGAGAGAACCCAAGATTTCGCCAATTCGAATCATTAAAAGGACCTTGTAGATAAATTTCCCACCTTACCAGCCCACATATACTTCTCACTCATCAGCTCTTGTCCCACACAGGTTTCCGTGGTGGCTAGACTAATGAAACTAACATTCTTTTCTACTTGGTTACACTGTTTCACATTATAAGTAAACAACGGAGGACCATCTCTTTCAGTGTTCCAAGCACCAGGCCGGTGCTTGCCCTCTTGGTGTTTTTTCCGTCTTCTATTGACAACAGCTCTTTGGCTGGCCTTCTGGAAATTACCTTCCCTCGTTGTAAGAGGTCTTGGGGGAGCTGTCTGGCAGGGTGCCCCCTATCCCCTGGCCAAGGAATGATGGGTGTGTGTGGTCTGAGCTACCCAGGCAGACTCTCTTTCCCTGGATTGATTAATTGATTTGTTGTTCGCAAAAGAACAGCTTTTACTTCCATTCTCTTTTTTCACTGTGATGTAATTCACATAGGACAAAATGCACAGATTTGACATGTATAGTTTGATGAAAATGCACCTTTGTAACCACCACAGTGTCCATCCTCCCCACCCAGGATATTCTCCTGAGCCCTTTCCAGTGAGCCCCCTGCCGAGGCAGCCACGGATGTGATTTCTGCCCCCATACCTGACTGCCTGTTACAAATAGACCATGGACTCTTTTGGATCTGGCTTCTTTTGCTCACAATGTAATGTCTATGCGATTTGTCCCTGTCCTACTGGTGGCCAGTCCCTTTGGTTGCTGGTGGGTGGCATCCAGTGTAGTATTCCCGCACCTTTGTTCTCCTGGAAATTAGAATCTGAGGACAGCAAGACCGAGGACTGTCTCAGCACTGGCCACTCCAAGAGAGGCTGCTGGGCCAGTCCTGCCTTGTGAGGCTCGGCTGTTCCACCTTTCCCTCCATGTGGGAGCTCCCACAGACCTTTCCAGAAATCTCTCTTGTCTTAAGTTGGCTGGAGCCCATTTCTGCTGTTTGCAATGAAACGTCTGACTTGATATGTCTCATTCTCCTGCTTAAGACTCTTCTGAGGCCCCCACAGCCCGAAGGGTGAAGTCCAAGTGCTCACAGAGACCACCAGGCCATCTACGGCCCAGACCCGTCCCCCCAGCCCCCATGCACACTCTCAGACGCTGCCTCCTCTCCTCCCAGCCTCCCACCTCCCCTGCAGGGAGGCACTTCCTGCCCCGCCTGTTCTGGTTAATGCCTTGCTCCCTCTGCCTGCAGCCTAGACAGCCTGTCTGTGGGGAAGGCTTCTGTGACGAACAGCACCCGCCCCCCACCGCCCCCAAGGAAAGCTGAGGGGCTCCATGCGGTGCCCTGTATGCCACGTCGTTCCTGACCTAGCACCAGCCACCTCAGCCGAGATGTTGGTGTTGGGTTGTCTGGACTGTGGCCCCCTTGGACTGCAGGATCCAGGGCCCGGGGTTCTGGCTGGCTGGCTCCCTGCCCCGCCCCCGACGCCCAAGCCTGGCACATGGTGGTGTTCAGCACACACTGGCTGAATGAATGACTTTGTTAAAAGAATGAATGAAAGTCCAAGGAGGCGGGGCTGCCGCACACTTCAGTCTGGCCTCTGAGGAGCCCAGTTCCCTCTCCAAATGGGAAAACCAGACCTGCTGTGTGTGCGGCTCTGGTAGGAGGCGCACGATCCCCTGTGGGCCTATCACGGCGGGGGCCCTGATCCTCCTTGATCCTCACCTCTCGGCCCCTCTGCTCCGGCTCGTACTGGGCCCTAGTCCCCAGCCCCTAGCCCAGCTTTCAGTAAGAGTGGAGAAGAGTGCTGAGGAAATACAATTCGATGTCAGGTGCTATGAGAGGCAGTGGAGGAGAGAGCACTCTGGAGCCATAAACCCCGCTCGAAAGCAGGAAAACATTCCACAGTTGGTTTTGTGCATGAGTGTGTGTGTGTGTTTTTTTGCAGCTGTAAACTCCAGGGCCAGGGCTGTAAGCTTGGGGAAGGGAAAAAGCAAAGGGGGAGGAGGTGGAGAGGGAAGCGGAGCCACACATGTGTTGCAGCGATTAAGGAGAGTGGGGGCCGGGAGGAACAGTCCCAAAGGGGGGAGACAGGTGGCTGGGCCTGGGGCAGCCCGAGGAGCCCCTGCAGAAAGGCTGGAACGTGAGCTGCCCTCTGAGGGAGGTGGTGGAGTGCAGAACGGAGGTGAAGGGGGGGGGCGGGCTGTGTGCGGCTCCCGTCCGAGCCCTGGCCGCCTGGACGCAGACCAGCTGGCTCTGGGGAAGGCGTCCAGCTCTGAACAGGACTGAAATGACCCTCGGTCCTCCCTGGAGCAGGGGAAGCGATTGGCCTGGGGAGCTGGGAGAGGGGAAGGCAGAGTGGAAAAGCCAGACCGGCTGCTGTGGGGGGTGTCGCCGCCCCAGGAGACGCAGGGTGGGGGGCGCAGGATTGGGCCAGGCCAGGAGCTGCTCGACCTGGACAGGCTCTGAGCTAGCACAGACGTGAGCTGGCATCCCTGGTCCTTCCCACCCCGAAACCTCCCATGGCCCCTGCCTGCCAGCCCACCATTCAGGAGTCCCTGGCATCCACCCCACGCTTCACCTGCTCCAGACTTCAGCCAAACCAGATCCCCACAGCCACATGCCCTCCAGGCTCTGGGCCTCTGCATGGCCTTCTGCCAGGAGACCCTCCCCTGGTTCCCTGTGTAGCCTCAGCTTCTCCTGACCCCCCAGAGGGGTGTGGGCTCTCTGTGCTCAGAACCCCCATGGCACTGAATGTGTCTTGAAAACCAATCATGTCCATGGACAGACGGTTGGTTGGTGCTGGCCATGTACCAAGGACTCTTCATACCTTTCTCGTTGGGCCCTTCCAGCAGCCGGGAGGTGGGGTGGAGGCCTCTGTTCTCCCCATTTTACAGAGGAGGAGACTGAGGCCCAGGGAGCAGCAGCAGCCCTCCTCTGCCCAGCAGATGGCAGGCCCCAGTGGGCTCCAACGGGCTGGTCCTGTGCCACGCTGGTGAGTGGGGCCGCCCCGCACTCCCCTTCCCTAGCCCCCACAGCCGCAGGAGCGCCCCTGCTTTATAGAGGCCCTGAAATGCCTGGAATGTCAGGCAGCTCCCGCCTCCCAACAGCTGTCTGTCTGCCCGGCCCAGGAGGACTGGCTGGCAGCTGCATTTGCGTCCTCTACATTTTGAACACCTGACCTACAGCACTAGGTCACCCCAGCGCACAGCAATCCTTGTGCCTGGGCTCTCCGTGGGGCCCACAGAGGCTCCCCCACAATTGTTGGGAGGAGCACAGGCTTTGCTGCCTTCTGCCTGCTCCTCGGGGTCCCCATGCCTGCCTGGACTGCCACTCAGGGTCCTCCCCCACGCAGGACATGGCTCTGCGTGTGCCTCTTTGGCCAGGGCTGCGATGAGCAATCCAACATCGTCCTGAGCTGCAGGCTGAAGATGAGCAGCACACCACCCCCGGCTTCTGAACACCTGCCAAGTGAGCCAGGTGCGGGGCTCGGCCCATCCTAGCTCTAGGACCTCTGTGTGCCCTTGGCCCTGGGAGCCTCAGTGTCCTCGTCTGCAGAATGGAGCTTGAGGGATGCCTGCCTTTCAGGGTTGCTGCAGGGGCTGAAGAATGCACAGATGTGAACAGCTCAGCTGCCAGCCCGGCCTCTGGCAAGGGCTAATGTCTGTTGTTGTGTGAACCAGGGACTCCTCACCCTCTGAAGCGAGGAGACCCATCTTCCATTTACAGAGACCCAGGAGCTGGGAGAGGCGTTGGGGCTCGAACCTGGGCTTGCCCAAACTGCACATCTGTTACCTGCTCCCCTCTGCAGGGCTGTGGGATGGTGCCTGGCAAATGCCACTCACTGAGTGTGACTGAGAGGGCACAGCCACACCTGGGTCAGCAGCAGCCCCAGCACACAGTTTCTTCTGGGGACCCGAAAATTCAGCTCCTGGGACCCAGCCTGCCCTTGGGGACAGGACTTGTGGCAGGGTTGCAGCTGGTGGGGATACTGTCGGGGAGCCCTTATGGACAGGAGACTCTTCTGCAGGCTTGCTGGGAAGCCTTTCACCTTTGCTGTGGTTCCTCCCAGAGCTGTCTCCCAGACAGCAGGGCTCTGCCCAACTCCAGCCCAAGGCCACACCAGGGCTGCTCAGGTCCCTATCTGCTCCAGATCTGGAGACAGAGGAGCCTCTTTCTCCTAGAGTCTCAGACCGGGAATGGCCTAAGCAATCTCTGCTAGTCACAGGCCTGAGCTCCCCCAACTCGAGCTTTCAGCATTGGCCTAACAGAAAACGCCT